CCCCCCCCCCCCCCGCACCCCGCCCACACACACACCAGTGATTCCAGAAGCCCTCAGGGGAGGGGCAGGAAGCCACCCAGTCACAAAGCAGGTCTTCACTCTCCCAACCAAAATCTGACCCAATCCTTGGCACCTCCCTGTGAACTTAGTTTACTAATGCCTCAGAGCTGCTCACATGTCCCTCCAGACCAGCCAGCAGCAGCTTTGAGCAGGACAGGGCAAAGAAAACACAGATCAGGAATTCCCAGAGGTATAATTCAGAGGACAAAGAGGAAGTTATGGACCTGAGAATCTTCAGTTCAGCTTGAACTTCCCATTTGAGGCAGTTACTGCACCCGCCTGATAGGGATACACAGGTAACTCAAAGCTGACCCCCAGAGCCCATTGGCCCCAAGCCAACAATGACCCCAAGCCTGACTCCCTGCCCTATAAGAAGGGGAGGCTTCCTTGAGGTCAGACTCTCAAGGTCCTATTGGTCGAAGAACCCAAGGAACATTCCTCAGCTCTTCTAGGAAGAGTCTTCTAGCCCTGAGGTCATTGTTCACACTGTGGAGGCCTGGCCTGGCCTGGATGGCCCCTCTGTTCCCAGGGCCCTCCTGGTTGAGTACACAACCAGCACCATCACAGATGTTTGAACCACCCCATCTCCCAGGCACCATCTTCTCCAGCTGTTCCAACAGCTCGAGCCATGAAGCCATATGTTCCATGCCACCTTGGATGCTGGGCCAGCTCTGCCCAACCTCCCACTAGACTCTAGGCATTTCTAGGCCCCTCAGAGGACAGATACTGTGGCAGGTAAACTTCAGATTCCTAGCAAACCAGCCAAGACAGGGACCTTCCACACCCTGCATCTAGAGTGCCTTAGGCAATACAGCTCTGATATAGTTGGCTAGCCCAACTAAGCAGCTTCCTTGGCACACTGAGACTCTTTCCCACAGACTGCTGGTGAGCAAGACTCTTCAAGAAAAACATAGAGTCAACTTAGAGCTGGAACAGAGATCCTCCACTCATCTCCAGAGATCTATGTCTATATCCTTGAACACAGCCCTCGGCATCTCCTTGCTCACAGAAATCTCAAGTACTGTGTGCCCCAGTCTAAAGTCCTGCCCCTCCGAAAGAGCAGCCTCATGTCCAGAGAACCGGACCCATGTGTCTGTGGCCAAGTATCTGGCTCTTTCCAAGAAGAGTAGGCTAGGTTACAAACTCTGAGAACCTTCTTCTTGCCTAAAATCCTACCATTGTCTCCTCGCCTTGACTTCCATCCCCTCCCTCCCCAAGACCCCAGGCCCGGAATCAATGGTCCCACCTGTGTGGCATCCCCAGAATGACGTTCTCAATCCCCATCTCACTGGATTTGTCAATGATGGTCTTGAGAGCAGGAATCATGACTTCACAGCCCTCCAGGCCAAAGCGCTTTTCTGAAGACCACTTCCTAGCCAGGAAGTCTTCAAACCTGTTTGGAGGACAGGGAAGGGAAGAGATGGGGTAGAAGAGGGGCAGGGCGGTGTTCCTGGGGGCTTTTCACAAGCACTGGGAGCTGGATTTCCAGGACACAGGAAGGCCAAAGTCACCTCCCTCCAGAATAGTCCAGGATCCACCCTGGACACCATGTCATAGCCACCCAACAAGGAACGCAAGCCAAGACAAGCTAGGAACTTCCCCAAATCTCCACTGGCACCCCTTCCCAGATGCCACCCCCTCTTCACAGCCAAACTTCCCTAACAGGCTATCTTCCACTATTCCAGGCCCACACCCTCCTGCCCACAGGATAAGCCCCTAAGACCTCTTAAATTCTAAGTTCACCTCATGCCCCACTGCTCAGGAAGCCATTTAATACTCAGCAGCTGAGCCAGGTGCACCTCTATGTCTGCTGGGAGGTCCCAGCTTTGGGGAAATCAGTGGATAGAGTCCCACTGCCGCCACCAGGGGTGTTGTCACATTCACCGATGCCAGGGACAGCGCAGGGACAGCACTCTGTTCTGTCATATCCACAGACACATCCTGTTACTTCTGCCCTTGCTCAGCATGACCTCTGCTGCCATGTTTCCCTGAACTCCCATCTCTACCCACCTATTTGGTTCTACCTCCAGCCAGCTCTTTGCCAAAGTAACCGAACATGTGGCCCTGATGTTTTGCCTAAGGGCTCCAGGGGGGCCAGGTCAGTCCACCTTCCCTTGCCAGGCCCTTCAGCCACACAGGCTGCCCATCCAGATGGTGCTGACCTCATGGAGCGCACCAGCCGGGCCAGGAGGGTCCGCTTCTCCTCACTGGAGAACTGCATCACACCAGGCGTCTCAAACTTCTGCCGGATCCACTGGCATTGCTCCACATCATTAATGAACATGAACTCCAGGCCAATGTGCTGGCAGTAGGTGCTCTAGTTGGGCAGGTGGGGAGTCCATGAGGAACCAGGTAGAGGGTTGACAGCTCGAGTCTGGAACCAAAAAGGAAGAACCCTCCCTTCCTCCTCACAACCTCGAGAGCTCCAGAGGTGTGCTGGACATGTGTCCCTGGGCTCACCTCCAGGCGCCGAATGATCTCCCTCAAAGACAGCGTGTTTTCTGAGCCCCCAATGAAGGTGGTGGTGGGCAGCTGAAATTCCTTATCCAGGTCAGCCTCCTCCAGGTCGTAGAAGGCTAGGAGCCCGAGGCAACAAGAGGAGGAAAGACCGAGGTTGGGAAGTATCCCTGAACCTACCAATGATATCCTCTGCAACTGCCCTTCAAGCCCATCTGGAAGCCCTGTCCTTCCATCCATGAGATGAAGTAAGGAGAGTCAGTACCCACCTCCTGCCTTGAGGGTAGACTTGGACAGTGTGCAGCCTAGTGAAGGTTGGAACACAACCCTCTCGGGGACACTGTATAGTAGTAACAGGGCACAGACAGAGGAGTCACACAGACCCAGAGGTATGGTGGGCTCAGGCTGGACTCTAGGGCCCAGAAGCCTCCCACTGGGCCATAAGCACCAGTTAGTTTGGTACTGTCTGGTGACAGAGAAGGATCCCAACTCTCACCCAACTTATCAATGGTTGTGATCAAGTCTGAAGGCACAAAGGAGTCCAGGTCTGCATCCAGGATGCCCAAGGGGTCCAGCTGGGCTACATGGTGGCCTCGGATCTGGGAAAAGGGAAAGTAACAAGACTGAACTGAGTCTCAGCTAAACAGACCTTCACATTGAGTGAAGCTAGAGCCCTGTCTTGACTTCCAGCTTCAGAGTTCCAGCTCACAACACAGCCTAGTGCGCTGTCACTTGTGAGACACACAATGGCCATGTAGGTGGCAAGAGCTCAGCTGGTGAAAATAGGAAAAGACTTGCACATAAGGCATATACTGCACACCATTAGTAACTGCAAAAGTCCAAAAACTTCCAAAGTGTCCATCAACAGGAATCCAGCATAGGAACAAGATAAAACACATAGAGTAAGGAAAATTCCCATCTGCTGTGAGCCAGGCTCCAGAGCCTTGCATATACGCACACTTATGCATGCACATATACAATACACACACACATAATAATGATAAAGAAAACTTTAAAAAGATTAAATAGAGTGTTTTAAAATTAAATAAAATAAATGAGGCTATAGGCATTAAAAGATGAAATCATAAACTAAAAAAACAAAATAGAAAAAAAATATCATCCATAGGGATATGATAAAATAAGATTGAACAAATAGGATTTTAAAAATAAGATTCCTAAAAGCCAGGCTTTTAAGAATCTATCTTGCTTTGAAGATTTGACTTTGGAATCTTGTATTTTACACTAAAAACTGAATTTAGATTTAAAAATTGAAAAACAAGATGAGACAAATGAGAACATATATCCATCCATTTAGCGGGAAGGCTACTCAGAGAAGGACTATGCCATTCGGCCAGTGGAATATTCCCTAAAGACAAACAGCTACAGGGAAAAATTCATAAACTTTCCTATTGCCAATCAGTGGTAACAGAGGGAAATTGTTATTCTAAGACTGCTGCATGTGGGCTGTAGGAATCACATAAGCCACTGCACTGGCCTCTCTGAGAACATCTATTTTTGGCATCTTTGAAAGGAGATGGTGCCATAAGATGGATGAGGTCAAACCCTTAGTCCTGCATTTGAAGTACGTAGCTGCATCAGTATAAATGCATAATGTATGTTACCTTTCTAAAACATACACCCTTCCAGCTCTGATCACTGAAATGACTAGACTGATAGTAAATATTCTCAGAGCCTAGATGGTTCTGGAAGGGGAAAATGTACAAGATGGATTTGAAGCATCTTATTAGGCCAGAAAGCAAGGGAGCACTAAACACTTCCAGGGCTGGGAATGAGAACACATGGTGATCTGTGTGTGTGTGTGTGTGTGTGTGTCTTCAAGGTGATGAGGAAAATAAAAGTTGGAGTTACATAGGGCTGGAGTAACAATAATGTAGGAGGAGTCACACGTGTGTGTGTGTGTGTGTGTGTGTGTGTGTGTGTGTGTGTACATATATAATCTACAACAGATTGAAATTCACTGAATATTTTTCAATTTGTGTACTTGTGTGAAGCAATTTAAAAAAGGAAGCTGGTGTGGTGGTACACACCTCTAATCCTAGAACCTGTAAGGCTGTGGCAGGAGGATCATTACCTCTCAAAGCCAGAAGACAGAGGTTAAGGGAAGAGCAGCAGAAGGAACACCACCTCCACTGGGTACTTTTGAAGGATGCAAGGGAATCATGTCATAGTCTTAAAAATCAGTCAATAAAAGGAAAACTCAAGTGCTAGCCCTACCTTCCCTCCACAATGTGCACCTCTGTGTACAGAGGACAGAGGGAACTTTCCCCTGACAAGCATCTCAGGTAATACAGAAAGCAAGCTAGTATGAGAATACTTACCATCCCTGGCTGCTCACTGCTGAAAGGCTCATCCCCATCCCCAACAGGAAGCTGATGGAGGAAATCAAGTCTATACTGGATGGAGCCTCCAGACCTCAGAACCAATTTACATGGGACAAAGGGACAAGTAAACAACACTATGGATATGCAACCAGTGAAACCCTGATTCAGGAAAACTACAGGAGAAACATCCTGGTCCCTTCCACCAAAACAGGTGAGAAATACAAGAAACAGAAAAAGAGCTGTAGAGGGCAGGAGACTTAAGACACATCAACCACTGCAGCCTATGGGTTATCAAGCTCTTGCTTCAAACAGGCAATGCCTGAATCCAGAGATGACTGTGCTAGGAGTATCCTGAATCTGGTCTTGACTAATTATACAACAAAAGGACAAGGGCTAGAGGGATGGCTCAGCAGTTAAGAACACTTGCTGTTCTTCCAGAGGAGCTGGGTTTGATTCCCTGCACCCACACACAGCTAACAACCATCCATAGCTCAAGTTCCAGGAGATCTGACACCAATACCCTCTTCTGTCCTCTGTGGGCATGTGGTATTTGCAGGCAAAACACTCATACACAAAAAATAATAAATTTTTTTTTAAAAAAAGGAGCAAAAACTTTAAAAACAAAAAACAAAAACAGTTCCAGGGATCCAATGCCCTCTTCTGGCCTCCCGGAGTACTGCATGCGCATGGTGTACTTACATACATGCAGGCAAAACACTCATACAATAAAAATAAATAAATAAACAATTTTTAAAAGCAAGCCAGCATGGTGGGACATGCCTATAATCTCAGCACTTGGGAGATGATGGCAGGATCAAGAGTTCAAGGTCCTCCTTAGCTTCACTCCTGGATTACATGGCAATAGGGGTTGAATAAGAGCATTTAATCTGCAATCATGAGGACCTGAGTTCAAATCCCTAGCACCCATAGAAAGCCAGGCATGGCTGTGTGTGCCTGTAACTCCAGCACTGAGCAGGTGGGGGGAGGAGCAAAACAGGCGAAGAGCTTGCTGGCCAACTAGCCTAGGCAAGACAGCCAACTTCCGATTTAGTGAGAGACCCTGTCTCCAAGCAGTAAGGCAAGAGAGCAATAGAGGAAGACACCTGATGTCCTGCTGTGGCCTCCACATGCATGCACATCTGCACACTCATGTACATGCAACACACACACATACACATACATACACACACACATACACACACACACACACACACACACACACACACGCACAAACAATCAGACAAAGAGAACTTCAAAGAATAGCAGAAGGACTACGAACTCTGCCCTGCAGCATCTGGATGTCAGTCTCTGTATGTAATATGCAGTTTTACCTTCTTGCTCTTGTCAAAGTCAATCACGAGGTCACTTTGTGCTTCTTTCATCCAGTCAAGAAAGCACACCAAAGACCCCTTATCTGAAATACCACACTCTTCAATTTGGGGATATTTACACATATGTAATGTGGTAGGTTGGAGAGGGGACCCACGTCTAAACATGATTTACTTCTGTTTCACAAACACCTTGTACACAGAGCTGGAAAGGGATTTTACACAGCACATACAGTGTTCTTAGTGCACCTGTGTTGTGACTGCAACCCATCACTTAAGGTCAGATGTGGAATTTTCCACTTGTGATGTCATGTTGATCCTGAAAAGGTTTCAGATTTGGGTTTTTTTTTAATTGTTTTGGATTAGGGATGTTCTGCCATTACAACCAGTTATTGTGTTGCACTGTCCATGGGTCCTCAGGCCACTGAGAGCCCTACTCTGCCACCTTCCCGCCACCAGGGAAGCTGGTGCCCTGGGAACATATTTCTATTCCACACTCCCACACAGAGGGTGCCTAGTGGGAGGCAAGGCATTGTTTCCATTTGCTAACACCCCAGTGCTCCCAGGCCCATGTAACAGCTTGTTGCTCCCTCCCACTGAGGCTCTTCAAGGGCCCAGGAGACCCAGAATCACCCTCTGCATGCCACGTTTTCCTTACAGAATGCCTTCTACCATCAGTTCCCATGAGATCCTCAATGATTACCCTTGTTATGGCAGCAACATCAGAGCAGCCCTCCAATTAGTCCTGTTCAGTCAAGAATGTGGACCAAGACACACTGCTAAAGATGGGGCCAAGCCTGGGGACCCTGGGTGGGAGAGCCCATCTCCAGAATGGGCAGCTGTTTGGTGAATTATTCATTCACTCCATCTGTACTAATAAAGCACCTGCTGTATACAGTCTTAGAAACTGAACATCAACAAGTATCAGTGTATTCCCCTGTCTCAATACCAACTGCAATTGATCATCTACTAAGTGTTCTTCTAGGTACTAGGGCATGGTATATGCAAGACTGACAACCACTCAGGAGACAGACAAGCCAGAAAACCAGTATGCACAAAAGCTGCCAGGGAGATGCAGAAAGATGGCCTTCTGGGGAGGTGACGCTGGAGCTCAGATTCCCTTTGGTGGTGCACACTCTATCCTGTCCTCCCAGTCTCAGTCGCCCTCACCTGGTAGGCACGGATCAGAGACTGCACCGCCAGGTGATCCTCTACCAGTTTGCTGGTCTTGGCTCTACTTGAGACTGCAGGTCTGCTCTCCTGGATAACAGATGGGGGCTGTGGGTGAACAGGGCTCACAGATGCCTCCTCACTCGCATTCCGGAAGAAGCTGTCCCAGGACTGGGCAGGGCAAAAGGAAGAACACAGACAAGTCAGGACGTGGGAGGACTTGGGGTCCCTGGAGTGTTCTTGAGAACCATGATTTTCAGGGTCTTCTCAGAGCCTTACTTCAGAGACCCTAGCCTAAGCCACTTACCCAGAGCCCAGCTCACCTCAGGATGCAGTTGTGTGTGTGTGAGTGCACGCGTGCGTGCGTGTTTGTGTGTCTTCAGTAATGACAGGGGTTTCTGCCCTGAAGAAAAATAGCCCTCCATATGGTGGGTTACAGAGTTCTTAGTAAAGGTCACTGTGCACTGTGGCAGGGAGACCCTCCACAAGATCAATGCATGGATTTTTAAAAATATTTTATTTTTATTAGTTTTATCTTATATGTATTTGCCTACATGCGTGTTAAATGTACCCATGTCATGCAATGCCTGCAGAGGTCAGAAGAGGGCTTTAGATCCTCTGGAACTAGAGTTATAGATCGTTGTTAGCTGCCATGTGGGTGCTGAGAACCGAACCCGGGTCCTCCCAGTGCTCTTAACCACTGAGTCACCTCTCCAGCCCCCACACATGGATTTTTTTAAAGCAATAATTGCGCTGCTGGTAATTCATTAAACAGACGGACTTATATTTGTGTGCCCAGATGTTCCCTCCAGGGTTGCTTATAAAAATGGTGACATACAAACAACCTAAATGACCATCAATAGGAAACTGACTAAGTGAATGAAAGCAGATTTTGAATCTGGAAGACCAAGCAGTGTTCTGAGAAAGGGGGCATTTGTTACTGTGGATCTGGAATGCTGCCAACACACGCTACAAAAACAAGGCTGAGAAGGGCGTGTGGCTGCTGCACGGAGGAGCAGTCTGGCACGCTTACGTGCAGATACTTCTGTTTTCCAAGAGAATAAGCAATAGTCTTTCCTGGGGCAGGACTGCTGGTGGGGTCAGTGGGAGAAGGCTTGTCTAGCATGGGTGAGGCCCTGGGTTCCATCCCCAGTACTACAGAACAAGATGAAACAAAACTGCTTCCCTCAGCTCACTCCCATACTGTAATAGTGGGAGAACTGACTGAAAAAACCCCAAGGAAAGTAATTTGGCAAAACATACCAAAATTGCATGTACATATACTTTTGGATTATGGGAAATTTCTCCTACAGACAGCTATGCAGACACAAGTACACACTGCAGCATTGTTCATGACAATGGACAGAAAGTAGACCAGAAGCAGGGACAAAATTATCATCCATGTGATGGAATACTACACAGGTAGAAAAAAAATGGGCCTCTTTAGGGTCTAACATAGAGCAATAGAAGACAGATAGCCAAGTGTAAGAAGCAAAAACCAAAACAGGATTGCTAAAATGCTACCTTTGCAGAGCCAGGTGTGGTGACACACACCTTTGATCCCAGCACTTAGGAGGCAGAGGCAGGTGTATCCCTGTGAGTTCAAGGCCAGCCTGGTCTATATAGCAAGTTCCAAGCTAGCTGAGGCTACAGGGAGACCTTACCTCAAAAAAAAAAAAAAAAAAAAAAAAAAGTTAAATTTGGGAAAAAAGGGGGGGGTTAGGTTTATTTTGAAATAAATCTGCCCCCCAACCAGCAAAAAAAAAAAAAAAAAAAAAAAAAAAAGCTACATTTGTGGAAAAGAGGAGGAGATTCAGTTATCTTAGAATTAACCTCTGCCAACAGACCACTGACCCCATCCCTGCCATGAGCTAAACCAAGTCAGGATGCCACTGGGTTTCTGCAAGGGGTCAAGCCCCACACAGGGAGATTCGGCAAACATTTGCAAAATGTTTATATAAAGAAAATCTTACACAGAGACGCTACGAATAAATTATGCCAGGTGTGGTGGCACACACTTTAATCCCAGCACTTAGGTGGATTTCTGAAATCAAGGCCAACCTGGTCTACACATGAGTTCTAGGCTAGCCAGGGTTACAGGGAGAACCTGTCTTTAAAAAAAAAAAAACGTGGACTGGGAGGGACCTCATGATTTTTTTCATACTTTTTGGTTTGGATATGGTAACTTTATTTTCCTCTCATTTAGTTTTTAACCATCAAGAGGTACTAGTTTATCTGATCATATATTATCTATTGGCATTTATTTTCTTATTCCATTCTAGGAGCCATCTGGAGAGAGCTCAGAATAACTGGGCAGGACATGTCTTGAGTATGCTGGGCAGAGCCAGGCATGCTGGGCAGGGTACCATCAATGGTCTATCACATGGGAATACCTCCCACCAGATTCATCAGCAAGAAAGCAAGAAGCCTCTCCCTCCCTCAGGACAGGCCCTTTTATACTCAAGGCCTGAGATTCCCCCCAACACACACACTGTCCTCCCCAGCAGCTCCCAGAAACTGAAGAAGGCGGTTGCTGACCTTATGAACACTGTGAGGGTTTTCCAACCAGGCAAAGTACATCTCCTCCACGTAACTGGCACTGCCTCTACCTCTGCTGCTTGGGAAGGTGGTCGGTGGCATGGAAGACCTGCTGCGCATCTTTATCACCAGGCCATCCCGTGCAGCCAGGAGCCTTGTGGCCTGTGCCCCCAACCTGGATGGCAGCAGCCTCAGCTGGCTCATTCTGAACGTGAACAATGAGAAAAGAGTATAAATCACAGGACCCAGACAAGAGAAAGTTCTGACAGGTGTGCATTCATTCCCAGCACCTGCAGTAGCACTAAGCAGTGGCTTATTCAAGCTAAGGTAGGATGGAGGTGACAATTTCAGCTTAACTTCCTAGGGGGAGAGCTCAGTTTAGTAAACCTATTCAAAATACCCTGGGCCCTTCTCTCCAGCCCAGGCTCCCTCTCTGCTGGTCCCAGAACCCCGCCACCCCCATCTGAAACCTCCTGCCTCAGGGGAGCATGCAGCTCAGACCCCAGAATCCACTTAGAGGGTCACAGGGCATATGAAAGCAGTAACCCCAAGAACAGATGGACACATAGCCCACTAGCCTGGAAGTGGGGCAGAGGTCTTCCAGACACTGAGTGTGCTGCACATGGTCAGAAAAGGCAGGAAGAAGACTGGGGAGCAAGGGGGTGAAGGATGAGATATACGTGCTGGAGTCTCTGATTTTTGACCAGAAGTAATGACTGCAATACTGGCTCAGCGGTGTGTCCTCCACCCTAGGCTCAGCCAGGCCTCAACAGCAGCCCCACATCACAGCAGAGGACTCAGGTTCAGTGTGGTAGAGGCAGAACCAAAGGCAGCCCAATGCCCAGACCTCTGCTGCAGTTGCCTAATTGGCTCCTAACACTGCCTGGAACTCATACTCTGGAAAAATGGCACCTGGGACAGCTGAAACCCCAGGGTACATCCAGGCTGGAGGCCTATCCAGCTGGGGGAACACAATGTTGGGCTCTTCTCACTTGTCGAGTCATTTCCCTGCCCTGAATGATGGGGAGGCTTTCCATGGTGAGACTCCCTCAGCCCCACCTAGGACAGGAGTTCTAAAGGTCTCCTCTGCTCCTGGGGAACCCCAGGCTTCCTGTGTAGACCCAGTGAGACCCTTGCTGCTCCAGGTCCCTGCTAGCACATGTAAAGTAGGACTTCTGTTCTTCCACCTCACGGGATGGCTGTGAGCAACAGCCCTTCATCCGCCCAGGCCAGTCACTGCCTGGACACTGAGTAGGTCGGACTGAAGACTGGCTGATGTCCTTCTTCCCACAGAACTCCGGCATAAGAACAGGGTACACCAGATCCACCCACCAGAGTCCAGAAGCCTGTGGCCCCTCACATGTATTCTGACGTATAACCAGTTCCTGGACCCTGCTTACAATTAGTCCTGAATCAATGTTCCTGGATGTGCTCCATCAACAGGCCACCAACCCCACCCCTGCCATCAGCTAAACCAAGTCCGGACACTACTGAGTTTCTGCAAGGGATCGAGCCAGGGCAGAGTAGTCTCTCCTGGGCTGCCTCCCCTTGCGCTTGCAAACTCACATGAGCTGGAAGGAAGAGGAAGTTCCTCAGTCAAGAAAGGGTGGTCTCCTGAGGCAACCTGCAGCAAGTCAGAACAGAGGAAAATTAATTACTAAAAACTACATTCCACTGCAGGGAGGAAGGAGGCGGCTAGCAGGACTCTGAGTGCCCCAGTGCCCCAGGATCTGCTCCTACCTGTTCAGCCCCTGAGCCAGGGTGGCCAGGCCCCACAGTGAGCCACTTGGAGCTGGTCCCACTGGAGCAGCAGCTTTCTAAGGGCTAGATGTGAGCTCTAGGGTTAGGCAGCTGGGGACACAATCTGAGGCATCACAAGAACCCAAACAACCATGGGGCTTCAGCATCTGCATTCCACACAGCAAGGAAACTAGATGCTGCCCACACCCAGGGTAATAAAACTAAGAGCACAGTCAGGGAGCACCAAGTCTGGAGTCACTGTGCTCAGTAGATGCTTGCAACATCCCATGAGTGGTCACCTGTTTTAGAAACAGGGATACTGAGGCAGAAAAGGCTAAGGTGGAGAGTTACCAGCTCTGTGTGCTTCAGAACTTGTGTCTTTTTGACAACAGCATTAAGGTCAACTCCAGGTCTTCCTCTGCCAGCCCCACCCCCCACAGGGGAAATAGGACAAATGGGCCAGATAGGGACAATGCCTGGCTGTATCAGGCCTGGCCCTATGTGGGAACACTGTGTTTTACAAGCACTGAAAAGTCTGGGCAGCCAGACACTGGTATGGCCTTCACCCAACCTGGCAGGTGGGCAGGCAGCCAGCCACTCCAACCCCCACCCCAGCCAAGCCTGAGGACCCCGGAACTCTGGAGGGCTCTGACTCTACAGCCAGAGCCCTAGCTAGCCCCACTTGGCAACAGCAAGGACCCCAACATAAAGTGCCTAGTGCAAGCCCCTGATGAACAGACCTTTGGGGTGTCCTCTCTGGGACAATGCCATCCAGTAGTCTGGACAACCAGTGCAGGCACCCTGCCACTAAGCCTCCCCCAGTGTACTCAAGCAGAGGTGCTCCATAATGGATCCCTTGGGAGAAACCGGTCAGCAGAGGTCAGAGAGGGGAGAGGCCCACTCCAAGACCTCAAGCTGGGGAGCAGCAGAGCCTGCATTCTCTACCATTCTAGTCCTGTCCTGGGAACTGGACTCATTTTGCTCAGGAACAAACAACTTGAGTTGGCCTGATTCGAGAGAAGGCAAGTCTCCAAGGAGTAAGGCAGGGCAAGGACAACTTATTTTCTTTGCAGAGAGGAAGGCTGAGCTGAACCCCATAAGTGGAGAAGTATAAAGGCGGGTGGTGCCTGTTTGGGAGGTGTTATAAAAAGGTGCTGCATGTGTTGGGAGAGGCTACACAGATTGGCTTAGCCCTTGGGACTGGGGGGGGGGGGCTGTCGGAGCTAGGCCTCTGCAGAGCATGGTCCTGGGGGTCTGTCAGGGGCTCACGGCAGCCCCTCCTCCATCGCCCATCTCTGTGCGGGCGTGAGAAGCACTTCCCATAACAGCTGCGACCTCAGACTACTCGAGCCATTGGTGGGCCTCAGTTTCTTCAAGTGGGGGCAGAGACCTTAAAACCGTCTATAAGGGGCCTGTCCCCACGATGTCCTGGGACTTCGAAGCTGCCTGCGACTCTCGCCAGACGCACAACGCTGAACCCTCCCCAACCTTAGAGCAGCTCTGGGCAGCCCCATCACGAGGGTAGGCTCTAGGGCAGGCTCCTCCCAGGCCATGGAAAGTGGAGGGTGGGAGGGGGAATCTGCAGCCTTCCGGCTGGCGATCCCGCAATAAGGCCGGAAACCCCACTGTCAGCGAGTCACTCCTTTCCGCGAAATTGCACTCGCCTGATCAAGTGAACAAAGGGCCGGGGGTCCTAAAGGATGCTGCACACAATTACGGGCAGAGCCAAGGTCACGTTCTCCCACCCCGACCCCCGCCTCCAAGGCCCGGCTTGGGACAGCCGGCAGAGCCGCCCCAATGCCCGGCAGCTGGGAATAGAACACCAGCTCGCAGGAACCGGGGTCGCGCCGCCGCGCTCACCGGGTGGGGGGGATTGGGGCCGCGCGATCCGGAGGCTGCAGGACAGGGGGCTGCACGGAGGGCCGCGCGGCGCGCCGTGCCAATTACCTGGGTCATGTGATGCGGCCGCCTGCAAGCGCGCACCCCCGGGATTCCGCGCGCAGTGACGTCTCCGTGGATGCTCCGCCCTGTCTGCTGTCTGCGCTGTCCGTGGTGCTCACCTCCCTGGTCTCTAAGAGCCAGGGCTCCTCCAGACTGCAGACAGGAGTAGCTGGAGCTCCTGAACCCCAGTATCCTCTCTTGAAATTAAGGAGAATACCAGAATAAAGCAGACCTTTGTGTGCGGGGGAAGATAGTTTCTGTTTTATAACCTCTAAAATGCTATTAAAAGTTCCACTGATTTAGAGATGTTTTGAAGAAAGGATAAGTGTGTATCACACTTGACCCATCCACTTTCCCAGAGATCTGTCCTGGGCAGCCCTCACCACAGGGCACCATGGCCACAAGCAGTGTGACAATGAGCATCTTACTGGCCCCCTTAGAACCTGCAGAAAATTTCCCTAGAACGTATGTATTTCAGGTGGATGACTCCTCTGTATTGCTGAGTAGTATAGGTGTGTGCATTCCCAGCTCCACTGAGCAGTGTCACCTCGCTGTTCAGTGCTCAGCTCCCACTGATAGTACAAGAGGGCTTTCAAGTCCTCATAGCCTAGTGTTGGCTTTCTAGTTTTTCCAGAATAATAGGTGTGGTGTCTTACTGTTTGAATCCTTTGAGTATCAGTAATTTGCAGCTCAGATTGTTTGTCAGTTTGGGGGTTTCCTGTTGTATTTTTAACCATTTTTTGTATTGGTTTTGTCTTAGTTACATGGAGAAGGTCCTGCGATAGGAATACACTGTGGTTCAAAACACCATCAGCTGTCCCCTGGGCTATTGCAGTAGCCCCCTAACCCTCTTCCATGTTTGTGCCCCTGAATTCTAATCTCAGCAGAGCAGCCAGAGATTTCCTTGTAAAACAGAAATTCAAATCATGTCACTGCTCTGCTCAAATTCCTCCAGTGGCTCCCCAGTTCACTGAGATGAAACATCAGAATCCTGACATCAGACATACTACCATACTTAATGAAGAAAAACAGAAAACTAAAGGAAATGTGTGATGTAATATGGCTTGTGTTAAAGGCATATGCCCAGAAAACTACAATATTCATTTCACAAGAGTGCATTAAACTACATGCTGCCAGGCATGGTGATGCATGCCTTTAATCCCAGCACTCATGAGACCTAGTCAGACAAGTCCTGTGAGTAGGAGGCCAGCCTGGTCTATATAGGGAGTTCCAGGTCAGTCGGAGCTACATAGTGAGACCTTATATCAATAAAATAATAAAATAAAACAAATACATGTCAGGTACATTAGTATGGCTGTTGGTGGAGGGGAGGAGGATGAGGGACATGGGTACAATGAATCAACTACCCAGACCAATACCTACAGAGTACAGTGAACAGAAGAATGTTGGAATACCTTCTGAGGTATTCCAATAGTTGTATGGGGATACTTGGGGTTCATCTGGCCAAGGACCACACCTGTTTCCTTTACTATTATGTTGGAAGTACTTAGCACTGGCTCATAGTATTATTTTAGCAAATATTTGTTGACTAAAAGAATGAGTTAGTAGACACTTGACTTGGGTCCTGAAGGATAAGCCCAAGTTTGTGTTGTACCAATGAAGGTGTAGCTCAGTGGTAGAACACATACCTAGCATTGTAAGGCTCTGGGTTCAATCTCCATTCTGTCCAAAAAATTGGTTCCAAGAAGTTCATTAGGAATTCTTTCATTATGAGCCTCAAAATAAGCCTGCTTGTTTAAACCAAAAGAGGAGCTGATATGTTGATATAAAGGTTATATAGAAGATAATTCATAGAGCAATAAGAAAGTCTTGAGCAGGGGTGAGCCAGGGAAGATCTGTCTGTTCAATGCTCTTGCACTGCTCAAGTTCAAATGTCAGGATCAGGGGAGCTAATTGATCTAGCTTAGTCAGAAGTGGGGGACAGAGGGCTGAACTCACCCATGTGAACCACACATGGCTTGAAAGAGATGGTTCATGGGGCATGGGTACCACAAGAAACAAGACTGGATGCTCAAAAGGAAAAGTAGCATGTGTCCTAAAGACCTCTGGGAGAAAGCACCACAGGCAAAGTTGGATAAAGAGTTTGGGGAAGGGAACTACTGGGATTCCCTGGGGGTGTGAAGGGCACAGTGGGACTGGGCTGTGTGCACAATGTTAAGGAATTTGGACTTCAGGGGACTCAGAAAACAATACTTCAAAAATGAAAGTTTCAGAAGCAGTTTCTCTTTGACCTTTAACCTTCCCTTCTGTCTCTCGGCTTCATCCTCCCCCAAGACAAGTCACATAGACTCTAATTCCTCTTCCCCAAGTCAGGGCATTACAGAATCCAGAACACCTTCCCAAAGCCAACCCTAAAACCTAAACCATAGGTACAGCTTTGTCTTGCCTTTCTGCCTAGGAACTGGACATCAGGAAATTAAGATCCTTCACTCTGTCCCATATCTGGGAAGAAGAATTGCTACAACTAAGCAATGAGCAGGCTTTGCTGGATTTCCCATTCTGTTTCCATTATTCCAATCTCTGTGTACAATCGTCTTTCTACTTGACTGCTTAAGTTTCATTGATCCTAAGCAAAAGTATTCGTGGTTCACTCTGAAGACTCCTGTGTCATGTAACACTATGATCAGATAAACTTGTAATGCTTTTCTCTTGCTAATCTGTCTTGGCCATTACCCCATGTGAGGGGCAGCAAAGGGATTACTTCTTTTTTCTTCCCTACATGGTAGTATACACCTGTAATTCCAGCACTCAGGAGCTGAGCAGGAGAATGAAGAGTTCAAGGCCAGCCTGGGGCACAGAGTGAGAACTGTCTCTAAACAAAAACCAAACACAACAACTAAACTCTATCCAGGGTTCTGTGGACACCAGCAGCTGTGAATGTTCAGGTTTGTTTCTTAGTTCTTTCTCTGGAAACTGGAGGGAAGATGGCTGAAATTTGTCTGGGTAGGAGGCAATCACACAGTGCCTACAGATGAAGTTGGGATAGATTTAAGGCAGTTGGGAATCACTTTAGAAGGTTGGTGTCTGGTAGGGTATGAGCATGGGGTGACAGTAACACAAGTTTCCAACTTTGGTGACTGAGGTTCAGTGAGCAGGGAAAGAGGTGACCATGCAGGCTGAGAGGCACAGCAGAGAAGTTTACAAGTGAGAATCACTAATGAACTGTGATGTAAGACACAAAGTAAACTAGCAGCATCTAACCCTAACCCTAGCAAGTCAGAGCATTCTGTTTGCTCATAGCCTTCTGCAAAGTCATAGAGGGAACACAAGAAGAGAAAGAGACCCCATATTCTAAAAAGAAGGCAAGTCACTTACTGAAGGGGATGGGGGCGGAACAGCCAAGGACAGGAGCCACCGCCTGGGAAGCCTGCTGGCTGGCCAGCTTTCCAGCCTAATTGTTGCTCTGCTAATTACACTGATTAAAGCAATTATTTGGGGCAATCAAGGCTCCCATGAAGGTGACTGCCATTCTTAGAAGCCTGAGAGGACTTGAGGTGGAAGCTAGGAGTTCTGCAAACATCTTTGAAAGGAGGTACTCATCTTTTCCTCCTCAGATGTACAGGATACAGAACATGCAGATTTTTTAAAATTTTTATTTATTTTTAATTTTTTGTATGAGTGTATTGCCTGTATGTATGTAAGTGCACCCGTGTCATGTAATGCCGCGGAGGTCAGAAGGGGGCATCAGATTCCCCGGAACTGGAGTTAAGGATGGTTTGTAGCCGCCATGTGGGTACTGGGAATTGAACCCAGGTCCTCTGCAAGAGCAGTCAGTGCTCTTGACCGCTAAGCCATCTCTCTAGCCCCCATAACACACAAATTTTTATTTATTCTAGCTGTGCAGACCTTAGTTAATACAGAAATATGAAGAGCGAGATGTGAAAACTTGCCTTTCCTTGTCTCAACACCTCTCCCTTCCAGAACTCCACTGGCTATTTTGATGAACATCTTCACAAAAGTTTTTCACATATTTTCACACATATGCATATATACTTATAAAAAACAGAAAATTGATCCAGGCATGGTGGCACACACCTTTAATTCCAGCACTCGGGAGGCAGAGGCAGGCAGATCTCTGTGAGTTCAAGGCCAGCCTGGTCTACATAGTGAGTTCCAGGACAGCTGGGGCTACAGGGAGACCCTGTCTCAAAAAGACCAAAAAAAAAAAAAAAAAAAAAAAAAAAAAAAAAAAACCAGAAAATTCATGACACTAACATAGGGCCCTCCTATATCAATTAACAGTTCACAGACATAGGCCAATCTGATGCAAGTAGTTCCTCAAGTAAAATTTCCCTCTTCCCAGATGTATCAAGTTGACAACCAAGATCAGTCATCACAAATATCCATCAAGGGGCTAGAGAAATAGCTCAGTGATTAAGAGCGCTGGCTGTTCTTGCAGAGAACCTGGGTTCAGTTCCCAGCACCCATATGGTGGCTAACAACTGTCCATAACTCCAGTTCCAGGGAATCTGACGCCTTTTACTGATCTCCAGGAGCATCGCACGACATGGGTGCACTTACATACATGCAGTCAATGCAGTCTTACACATAAAATAAAAATAATAAAATACTGAATATATATACACGTTTTAGGTTTTAATATGTGTAGTCTTCAATATGACCATTAGAGATGATGCCTCCCTGCTAGTGATTGTGAATTCCCATTTCCTCACATCCTTGTCAAAACTGGCTATTAGCAGCGGAGTTAGCTAGCTAGTTAGTTTGCTAGTTAGTTAGTTAGTTAGTTCTGAAACAGGGCATCCCTCTGTAACCCAAGCGGACCTAGAACTAACTATATAGTCCAGGCTGTCCTCAAACTCGAAGCAATTGTCCTGCCTTAGCCTCCCAAGTGCCATGAAACCTAGCAGGTTTTTTGTTATTGTTTTTTTTAATTTGTACCAATCTGGAGGTGAAGAACAAAAGATCTCATTTTGCTTTAGTTTGCATAAAACCATGAAGTTGAGAATCTTTTTATATGTGTGTTATTTTGTATTATTTTTCTGCAAATTGCCTATTGATCATCTCTGTCCATTTTTCTTTTGGACTTTTCTGATTTTTTTGTGGGTTCATGTGAACTCTGGATAATAATACTGCATGTTGCATACATTACTTCCAGTTGTCACTTGTCTTTAACATGGTTTGTGGATGCTTTGTTAAGGATTGGATT